GTCAGCCGGAAGGGGGGAGGCCAGCCCGCCCCAGCCACCGCCTGCTGGCCTGGACCACGACAGCCCCTCTCAAGCAGACGCATCTGACTCACCCAATGTTTGGATTTGAGAGAGAGAAACACGGGTTTTATTACTTTTTTTGGTGCACACCCCTCCCTAGCATCTAATATTTACACAGTTGAACGCACAAGGTAGGGAACACATACGCAGGCCGTTCATCATGGCCGTCTGTCCGCCCTGACGGCAAGTTCCTGCCAGAGGGCCACAACTATCCCCCGAGCCCTGTAGGAGGGGCAGCACTTTATGGCCTGGCTGCCCTGGCCCCACATGAAACCTGATGGGGAGGGCCAGCTGGGACACAGAGGGCCCAAAGGCCACCTGCCGAGGACCTCCAGACCAACCCAACTATGTTCTGGAACTGTCTCTGCAAGTCTGCCATTCTAGCCTGGAGCTAAAGCAGTGGTCAAGGAAGGGCACAGCCCTTGGGTGCCCTGTAGGAGGTTCAGCCCGGAAAAGGGACTTGTCTACAATGGGACCCTCACTGCGCTCTCCAAGGAAGGGAACCCAGAACCCCAGCGGCTCCCAGTCCCCCATGGCCTCTGAGACGGGAAGTCGAGGTTTTTCCCGAGGGCCACGGAAAACTTGGCTCCTTGGCTATGGTCCCTCCTGGTTTCTCCTTCCCTGGAAAGGTCCCCCCCAGGGGGAGAGCTCTCTTCCTGCCCTGGGGAGTGGAGGGGAGAAAGGAGTTAGGAGCCCCCCCAGCACAATTCTCTCCCCTCCGAGTCTGGTGGCCTGGCTGCTCCTCTTCCTCCCTCTCCCCACCTGAGCTGGCTCTTGACCAGGGACACCCCATTTGAGTTGAGAAGGCGCCCCCACAGCCACCAAAGCCCTGGAGCCCACCTCTCTTAGAGCGCTGCCCTCGGCCCCTTCTGTAGCCCCAAAGAGCCAGGCCAGGGAACGCAGAGGGAAACACGGAGGAGTCCCGCGCCCAGATCCCGGCACCTAGAACCCCACGCCCACGCCCACGCCCGCAGGCTCGAGGATATGGGTTACAGACCAACCGGAGGCACCAGCTGCGCGGCCGCGTGGTCTGCCCGAGACAGAAGAAGACTGTAGCCGCCAGTGCTGGGTATGGGACCGGCTGGGGCGCGTCGGGCTCCCC